CCTCTTTTTCTTTCTTTCCTCTCTCTCTTTCCCTCTCTCTTTCTCTTTCCCTCTCTCTTTCCTCTCTTCTCTTTCTCTTTCCTCTCTTCCTTTCTCTTCCTTTCCTCTCTTTCCTTTCTTTCCTCTCCTCTTTCTCTTTCCTCTAACTTTCTCTCTTTCCTCTCTTTCTCCTCTTTTCTTCTCTTTCTCTTTCCTCTTTTTCTTTCCTCTTTCTGTCTTTCCTTTCTTTCTCTCTTTCTTTCCTCTTTCTTTTTCCCTCTTTCCTCTTTCCTCTATTTCTCTTCTCTTTCTCTCTTTCCTTTTTCTCTTTTTCTCTCTTTTCTCTTTTTCTTTTTTTCCTCTTTCTCTTCTCTTCCTCTTTCCTCTAACTTTCTCTCTCTCTTTCCCCTCTTTCTCTTTCCTCTTTCTCTTTCCACTTTTTCTCTTTCCCTGTCTCCTCTCTTTCTCTTCTCTTTCTTTCCTCTTTCTCTCTCTCCCTCTCCCTCCAGGTTAGGAGAGAGAGAGAGAGAGAATGAAAGGCAGATGGCGCTGAACGGGCGGGGAGAGCAGGACGGAAGGTAGAAGCTCCCGGCCGCCCCCCCCATCGCTTCTTCAGCCGAACAAGCAGGGAGGGGGGCAGGGAGGGGGAACAGGACGGGAGGCAGCAGCTCCAGTGGTGGTGGCCCCATTGCGTCCTCAGCCAAACGGGCAGGGAGGGGGAGCAGGACGGGAGGCAGCAGCTCTGGCGGCAGCCACTGCAGCATCGTCGGGGTCCCCGTCGCCGCCCCTGGCCCGGCCGCCGCCCCCGCCGCTTCTCCTGCAGCAACGAGGGCAGCAGCGGCGGCTCCCTGAAAGTGCCCAAGGAAGGTGCCACCGATGGGGCCGAGGTGGGGCCGGGCGGCGGAGAGCCCTGCGGCAGCCAGGCGAGCTTCATGCCTGACTGCCGTCCGGCCCGGGCTGGGGAAAAATGTGGCCAGTTCGGCTTCCCGGGGAGCGATGCTCCCGCTGGCCGCCGCACCAGCCATGACTGCCGCCCAGCACGGGGAGACATGTGGCTGGTTTGGCTGCCCAGGGAGCGGCCCAGGAAGCAATGCCCCAGCCGAGACTGGAACAAGTAAGCCGGGGGGGGGG